AGTTGGCTTCATTTGCTGAAGGAAAAAAAAATACATAAATGCATATTAATCATGGCTGATCTTTAGTTAAGGTGGAAACATTAAAATACAGTTCCAATTCACAAAAAGAAAAGGAGTACTTGTGGCACCTTAGAGACTAACCAATTTATTTGAGCATGAGCTTTCGTGAGCTACAGCTCACTTCATCGGATGCACACCGTGGAAACTGCAGAAGACATTATATATACACAGAGACCATGAAACAATACCTCCTCCCACCCCACTGTCCTGCTGGTAATAGCTTATCTAAAGTGATCATCAAGTTGGGCCATTTCCAGCACAAATCCAGGTTTTCTCACCCTCCGCCCCCCCCCCCCAACACACACACACACAAACTCACTCTCCTGCTGGTAATAGCCCATCCAAAGTGACCACTCTCTTCACAATGTGTAGGGAGAGTGGTCACTTTGGATAAGCTATTACCAGCAGGAGAGTGAGTTTGTGTGTGTGGTTTTTGGAGGGGGGTGAGGGAGTGAGAGAACCTGGATTTGTGCAGGAAATGGCCCACCTTGATTATCATACACATTGTGAAGAGAGTGGTCACTTTGGATGGGCTATTACCAGCAGCAGAGTGAGTTTGTGTGTGTGTGTGGGGGGGGGGGGGGGGTGGAGGGTGAGAAAACCTGGATTTGTGCTGGAAATGGCCCAACTTGATGATCACTTTAGATAAGCTATTACCAGCAGGACAGTGGGGTGGGAGGAGGTATTGTTTCATGGTCTCTGTGTGTATATAATGTCTTCTGCAGTTTCCATGGTATGCATCCGATGAAGTGAGCTGTAGCTCACGAAAGCTCATGCTCAAATAAATTGGTTAGTCTCTAAGGTGCCACAAGTACTCCTTTTCTTTTTGCGAATACAGACTAACATGGCTGTTACTCTGAAACCAGTTCCAATTCAGAACTTCCAGACTTTCTAACATCTTAAATCTTCTTTAGCTGTAGTTGATTGCAGCGTTCGCTCTAATTTTTCCCACACATGTACGGAATAAATTTTATGTGCACCAATATGGAGGTGATGTGTCATAGGGAGGGGGCTCAGGGCTGAGACAGAGGGTTGGGGTGCAGGAGGGGGTGAGGCTCTGGCTGGCAGTGTGGGCTCTGGGATGGGGCCAGTGATGAGGGGTTTGGCGTGCAGGAGGGGGCTGGGGCTGGGGGTTAGGGTGCAGAGGGGCTGAGGTCTCCAGCTGGGGGTGCAGGCTGGGGTGAGGGTTTTAGGGTGCAGGCTGCCCTGGGGCTATGGTTGAGAGAGAGAACTCCCCCCCCAGCTCTCCCCACAGCAGCATCTGGTCTGGCTGGAGAGGTGCCTCTCCCTGCTGCTGCGGCTGCTCTGGGGCTGGGGCCACAGGATAAGCGCCTCTCCCCTGGCCCTGGCAGGTCTGGGGCTGGGCTGGGTTGGGGCACCTCTTCCCCATCCTCTGCAGATCCGCCGGGGCTTGGCTGGGGCCAGGGGAGGATCTCCTCTCCCCCCGTCCGCAGCAGGTCAAGGGGGGCTGGGCTGCGGCCAGGGCACCTCTCCCCTCATCCGCGGCAGGGCAGGGGGCTGGGGCACCTCTCCCTTCATCCAGGGCAGGGGGCTGGGCTGGGCTGGGGCCAGGGGAGGTGTGTCTCTCCTCGGCAGGTCTGTCTGCAGTCCGGGCTGCAACGGGCTCCGCATCCCTCACAGGTGGCCCGGAGGAACGGCAGCAGAGGTGGGCTCCTTTCCAACTCCTGGCAGGCAGTCGGCAGCTTCTGCCTGCCGGTGATGGAGGAAGGGGGCGGAGAGAGGAGCCCTCACCCGGCCAACTGAGAGTAGCGGTGGGGTGGGAGCATAGAGAAGCCCTGGGCCGGTGGGCCCATAGGAGCACGAGGGCGGGTCCGGAGAGGAGCCAAGGGCCGCAGCGTAAGTGAAGTGGAGCGCCGGGCGGGCCGTGAGGCCCCTGCTGAGCGTGGGCCCGGTGCCATTGTAAACCCGGTCCTGGCCGGGCCGGGCTGGGGGAGGAGCGCCGCAGCAGGTCCAGGGCTGGGGGAGAAGCATCTCTCCCCGTTGCAGCCCTGAGCGCCTGTGTGGCGCTTAATGGGCTGCTGCGTGGCCACGCAGTTTAGAGGGAATTTAGTGGAGGGAATAATCTGAGATTTAATCCTTTTGATATCAATACCATTGGTCATCCTCAGTGCCCTCAGAACACACTTATAGAGAAAGAGAGAACATCGGACAAAAACAGTTCTCATAAAATTTTGCTCGTTTTTTAAAGGGGCACTGTTAAGCAACACAGGCTCAAACTCTAGGTTTGGTTTAAAAAATAAATGGGGATGGAGAGGAATTGTTTTACAAAAAATTATGATTAACAGAAAACAATCAGAGTGGGGTTGCTTAGGTTTTTTCCAGCCTAGCAGGAAACGTTCCCCTGCAGTGCTTGGGTTTCAAACACAACAACATTGTGCTCAGGAATGAGAACCAAAAAGTGCAATTGACTACATAATAATGTGAAATTGACCAATTTGATTTCATTTTCCCTAGCTGAGTGAAATTCAGAAAGTAGGTAAACAGAACAAATGGAGATGAGTACATTGGATTTTATACATTTTTGGAGTTTCATTTTTGTCATGTTGATAGTAGAGTTACAGATTTTTTAATTTTTTAATTTTAACAGTCTCTATCTAGTAGACTTCTGACAGCTATGCAGTTAAACTTTGTACTAAGCTTTAAATCATGTTGTATACTGCATGATAAAGACATGATTTTGGGTTTGATATCCTTGGTTTTTAATTCAGAATTGCTGTAGCTTTTCAGTAATATTATTTTGGTCAAAAACGTACTAGTTGTGACAAAGAAAACCTGTACAAATGAGTTTAATATGAAATTTCCTTTCAGAGTCTAACTATTTTTTCGGACCTCTATAGCTAAAGAACCATAGTAATCAAAAATGAGACACAACGTGTTTTAGGGTTGCCAACCCTCCAGGATTGTTTTGGAGTCTCCAGAAATCGAAGATTAGTCTTTAATTAAAGATTATGTCATATGATGAAACCTTCAAGAACACATCCAAGCAAAATTGGCAAACCTAATTTTCATACTATTTTACAAAATATTATTAATATAGAATATTGTTAATTACAAAAGTATTATTCTTATTTGTCATAGCATAATTTAGATCCAAATGCCGCCTTTTGTTTGTAGGGATAGGACAGGATGCTGAAAGGGCAGGAAGAGGGTGAGACTTGAAGCCCAACATGCTGAAGATGTAGTCTAGAGCTCCATTCTAGAGACAGTTGTTCTCTTTGGTGAACCTCCTGTCAGGTGTGAGGAAAATCTTAATTCTAATATACTTTTTCATGTACAAACATGTTTTAGACTGTATTACCCATATAACTATATAAAGAGTACATCTTCAACTAGCTGAGGTCAGAGCTGATGTTTGGCATTTGAGTGTGATAGTGAGAAATTGGAAGTGTATATTGTAAGTAGTGCTATTGCGGAACTGAAAGTGAATTTGCAGTGGAACTATGGACTTGAGTGTGATATTTGGCTAAAGATATGTGAGCTAATACTGCTGTGGATCTTAATGTTGGCGTAACTAGTTATTTTCTCTTATTTTTAGTGATTATCTTGCTGGGAAATGCACTTGAAAAATCTTAATTCTAAATTGAGGATTATTTTACTGGGTATATAGTACTAAGGAAGAAATCTTTACACTGTAGACTTGTGTGAAAGACCTCCTGTCCATTTTCAGGCCGTCTTCTTCCTCAGAGCTCAGATTCCCTGGGTTTATTAAACAGAACAGAATATTTCTAAGTAGTCCAATTTTCCATTTAGGTTCCAAATTTTTACTATTTATTTATTTATTTGACTGATGATTATGCTGTCACTGCCTTGTAAGATGGACAGATGACATAAATGCTACAAGATATTGGGAGCTTAAAAATAATTTATTTGTAGACAAACATGTTTCTTTACATCAGCTACATCGCTTTTGATTATTAACAGTACAAGAATTTTAAAAATCCAATTTACTTGTTACTATGGAAGCTATTTATTTAAATAAAAAACAATATATTCCACTTCTTTGTGCTACAATGTTTGGTTTTGAACATATCAGGGGCACGGTTGTTTGTTTAAAAATAAAATTGGTTATATTGATACTGGACTTTCATTTTTAAAAGATAGAAGCATTTGTATAGGTCAGTGGTTCTCAAACTTTAGCAAGCCGAGGATCCCCATTTTGATTTAAACATTTTTGGGGATCCCCAAATTCCCCACTCAGCTCCAGGTCCCGCACCCACTCCATCCCTTCCCCAAAGCCCCACCCTACCCCACCCCTGCTCCACCCTTGCCGCTCCTCTTCCCCACCTCTTTCTGCCCCCTTCCCCAAGGACGCCCTATCCCCGCTCCTCCTCTCTCCCAGCGCCTCCTGCACGCTGCTGAACAGCTGTTCCCTGGCGTGCAGGAGGCACTGGGATGGAGGTGGAGGAGTTGAGCGAGGTGGAGAAGTTGATCAGCGGGTCTCGTGGATCCCCTGGAGTACCCTCGCAGACCCCCAGGGGTCTACAGACCCCAGTTTGAGAAACGCTAGTATAAGTCTTAGGTTTTGTGAAAGATTGTTCCTACAAAATATGAATTTGGGGCTAAATTTGAACTGACTACATCTCTTGCCCACAATGGTCAGGACATATAATTCATCTCCCTAATCATAACAGTAACACAGAAATAATCCATAGTCAACTCAAAGGTGTCTTGCTCCATGCCTTCAAAGTCAGTAGACTTAAGTTCTGGTGAACAGTAAGAGGAAGTACGTTCAGCAACTGGAGATGTTCCACTTAAGCATACCATGTCTAGTCCTAAAGAGTGTAATTTCTAGCATTGAAAATTTGACATTTTTTTATAGTGAGAAGTTTTTCCCTCAAAACTAGTGCAAGAAGTAGAATCTCTGGATTTTTAGTTGTGCAAATAGTAACACTATATAACTCTTTTATTTATATATGTAGAATAAATCACTTAACTGTGCAGTTGAAAGATAAACAAAATGAACTACAAAATCTGAATGAGGCCTTGAGATGCTTTCAAGAAGAGAAGGAAGTTGCACATAAAAAGTTGCAGCTGTTCAGGTAAGAATTCCTAAAAGGCAATGTGTTAGATCTTTCTTCTGTGAAAAAATGTATAGTACAATCAGTTAACAGGACTTGTCAACAGAATTATAGAATGACAAGGAAAATAGGGCAAATGAAAAAAGTTTGGAAACATTTCAATGTTTGTTTTTCAGAACATAGTAAAATAATATTGTGTTAACAAATACAATTTGGTCATTTTCCAATTGTATTATTGACAATTTTGTCATTAATCTCAATAGAATAAATGATCAACAGAGTTAAAGTCCTTGTGATACAGTAGCACGTGGAATGCAGCTGCAGTACTGTATTTCTTATAGCTGGTTGCAAAGAAAGACTTTTAGCTGGTACACAAATATATATAATCTGAAAACTTTTCCTTTATATTCTAAAGCCATGAAAAAGAATCACAGAATATCCATTTGTCCAATCAAAAATTGTCTTCAATTTTACATAAATGAGGGAGGGAGAAATATTTTGATGTGTTGTGAAGACTGTGTTAAATGTTTAAACATCTTCAATATATTGAATAATTGTAACATAAAATACGATGGAAGGGAAAGTTATTAGTAGTTTTTCTTGGTAAAGCCACAATTTGAAAATATCTTCCCAGATGTTTTTATTTGCTTTTTAAAGAAATGATTGATCTTGTAAATATTTTTCTCTTTTTTGCAGAAAAAGATTGGAGAACCATCGGTTAACTCTAAACAAGACTCTTTCATTACTTCTCTTTATTAGAAGAGAGCTAGTCAGTATTAAAGAAGTTGTATCTAATAAGCTAGACAACTGGACTGTACTGAAAGAAGAGATTTTTCTACAAATAAAAACTATAAGTAAAGCCGCATCAACAGGTAAATCATCAACTTGCAATAATATGTGAGTAGTATACATCTTGATAGTACTCATCAGCATGTATTCTTTGACAGGTTTCCATGCCCTGTTTATGGTTTATGTCCTGCACTCTGTTTTTGGTCGTGTACACGTTTGGCACCGTCCGCCATTTTGAATTTTTTTTTATTATTCTTTTATATTTGGATGGGAAATGTTGTGTGCTTGTGTTTTGACATGCTTGGCTGGGTTTTGTGAGAGAATTTTAAAGAAAAGGAGTTTTAAAAAAAATAAAGATTGGTGAGGTTTATGAAGGAGAGAGGGTATTTTTGCGAGCAGTGGTTTTAAAATTGGGAACCTAGACATTACGGCCATGTCCTTTTACAAGACACCTGGAGACACCAAGAAGCCCAAATTGTTTTTGGGTGCCCCTGATTGTGTTCAGAAGGATGACCCGTTTACACTTATTTTGCTAAAGAGACAGTGCTGACGTTGAATCCCATGTTTCAGCCTGAAATTGAACCGAAGAAACAGGAAGAATTTATGGGGTCATCGCCAGTTGTAAAAGAGGAAAAGAATTGCATGCAAAAAAAAAAATTTAAAACCACAGCTCACAAAAATACACGGTTTTATACACATGGTCAGACGCTCATTGGCTAGAGTTTTATTCAAATAATCCACTCCGCAATAGCCCGTTTCTGGAAGGAGGTGGTGGCTCTTGTTTTAAAATCTTGGTATGATAGGATTGGTTCGAAAGAATGCATTCTATGACGTAGCTGTAGAACAGCTTCTGATTGCTTCAGCATAGTTTCCTCCCAAGGCTCTCCGCCCAGAACAGCTATCATTTCACTACCGGCAGTCCTTGGGGTAGGATGCTTCACTCTGTATGTGTTCAGTGACACAGACTCTCTTGTTGCTTTATTCTTTCTTTTTTCTCTAAAGTCCTTTCTTCTTTTCCCCGTGCTTATTTTTTCCTCTCTCTCTATTTTTGATAACCTTTTTACTCTCCTTCAAACTGTTTTCTTTAAAACCCTCTCTCCTTAATAACCTAACCAAAAATCTTTCTTTTCTTTAATAACTAACCTCTACCCTTTAAAAACCTCTCTCCTTACTAAACCTAACCAAACAATCTTTATTTTTTGAACTCCTTTTCTTTAAGTTCTCTCACAAAGCCCAGCCAAGCATGTCAAAACACAGGCACACAACATTTCCCATCCAAAAATAAGAAAATGATTTAAAAAAATTTCAAAATGGCGGATGGCGTCAAATGTGTGCATGACCAAAAACAGAAATGGAAAGCGGGACATAAACCCTAAAGGGGCATGGAAACCTGTAAAAGAATACATGGTGATGAGTACTTTTGAGCTGTATAGTACTTTTTCGGTAAGATATTTCAATTTTTGGATTATGAGTATAAAACTGTAAACTAAAATCGCAGAAGATAGGCAACTGGGATGGCCCATGGGATATGTGATGTGATAGACTTTCAGTTGTGGATCTTAATGTGGCCCAGGCAGAAGTGTCTGACATATATGTTGGCTCTTTGTGGTCTATGTGAAAGGAGTTGAACTAAGTCCGGTTACTAATGGGACAGATGTCTGCATCATCACCATTGCCACACTCCCCACTATTGCAGCTGGCACTCTTGTCCATAATTTAGCAAGGCCAAAGTTGAATGGAAGCTGAATTTAACTACAAAACCCTAAAGGTAATAAACCAAGAATTTTGAGTGTTACAAGCAAAATTTGACCTGATTTTTACAGAACAGGGTAGTGGGGGCAGTTTGCATTACTTGTACTTTCTGTAAGGTCCTCAAACAAGCCCTAAATTCACCTATATGTTTTAAATAAAAATAGCATTATAGAACTCAAAACCTGCTATATGAATATAAAGTGTGTAAACAGTGTAGTAAGTCTGATAATAGCAAGTATAAGAAGTATTTAGTAGTTTGTCTTGAAAATGTCAAATATGTTATAGGAAATTATATTTAAAACGTACTGTCCTCACTTCATATAGCATTTTCAATTAATCTAAAGCTTGAGTAGGGAATAAACAAATATGTTGTAACATACATTTTTGTAATTCACAAAAAGCAGCTTATACCTCCTGGATCTGACATGCTACATTTTTCTAGCTGTATTTACCATAATTTGTTCTACAAATTTTGGTCTTCAAAGCATGGACTTCAGTGTAATTAATAAAGTAGCTGTCCTGCTAAATGTACAGATATTGCTGAATGTGGCTTTCTGGGCCTACCTTTTTGAGTAGTTGGTAAAGAAATGTTTGTAATCTTTTGCCACAGGGCAGAAGTGCAAAATTAGGGACACTTTTAACCTTTCCGTGAAGACACACACACACGTGCGATGAAATTATTTTTGATTTTTGGAGTGTGAATTGTTATCTGAGTACTAGATACCACAGAGTCAAGATTTTAAAAAATAACTAAAATACACCTCATTGTGAACATGTGCATGTACTGTCATTTGAGCTGTGCTTTGCTGTTCAGATATTTTGTAATTCATAACATATTTTGAATTCGTTCTGATTTCAATCTTTCAGCTCTCACTTTGAAAAATTAAGTTACATAATTCAACTGGCAACTGAGATAAACGATACTTAACAAAGGAAACTACTTTTGATGCCAGTGCTTTTTAAACATGAAACTTTATTTACCAATTCCAAAAATAAAATACAAATGAACAATTAAGATAGAGTAGTAATGTTGGCATCAAAGTAAACTCCAAACCAAATACATTTACGGGTATAGCTCTCTTATTTTGTTGAGTGGTAGGACCTTAGTAACCACAGTAGAATAAGTAAGAATGATACTAGCGAAATCATCTACTCATAAGGCAAGATACCCCTGGTTTTTTAATATCCTGCAGAATTCTACTTATTTGAATAGCTACAGGCATCTTCCTAATCCTTCATTCAACCAAATGGAAGTTAGATTGGTCAAAATGAAAATATGGGATATTTTCTTGTACCTTCTTTTCCTCTCATAATGTGTCTAATCATAAAACAGTCTTAAAGCCATTATAGAATACTACTTAAAAGAAAACTGTTTTGTTCTGACAGTTCGCACATGGGCAGTGAAAATTTTCTGTGATAATTTTTGATGCGTGTTGACTTTTCTGAACCTGCTGTGGTCATCCATAGAATGGAAAAATTACATCATTTGTGCCACTCCAGTAGTGGAATTCTTGTCAGAAGCCATTTAAAATCCTAAATGTTATTAACAATTAGTGAAGAATGTAACTGTTTAACATTTAAATATTTTGTTTTAATATTAAACAATCAGGTTCTGCTTCTGATGATTAAAAGCATTCTTTCCTGTCACAGACAATATTACTTTGCAGCAAGATAGTAGCTACCAGCAGGAAGTTTAAGATTTTAATTAAAATCTTCATTTTCAAATACATTTAGCTGTTTATTATAAGGAATGCTTCTTGCAATTTCCAAACAGTGCACAAAGCAAGATGGGGGCAATCTGGCTTCATTTTCAATTATGAAGCCCATTATATCATAACTTCACACAGCATGTAAAATACTTGGCATTTAAGAAAAGGCTTCTCAAGATGGAACAGAGAGTTGCTAAAAGATATTCTAATAGCACATTTAATTGTGAAATGTTTGGCTATTCTTTGCTGAAAATTATAGGATCAACTATTCAATCATTAAGGGCAGATTGAAGCACAGGCAATATGTGTGCTTTAGCCTAAGATCCTAATATTTGAAGATATTTTAATTTGCCATATCTCTCTGTCTTCCTATGGTGTCATACTCATATAACTCATTCAAGATGGTTAGTTTTAGAGACTCATAGAAGTGCAGGACTGGAAAGGACCTTGAAGTCATCTCATCTATCGCTCCTCAGTTAATCAATTATTTTTTGTCACGGTCCAAGTTTCTTTGTCAAGATGTACTCAAGGTCCAGACTCCAGAGAAACATTTTCACACCGTAATAACAATAATGATAATAATAAGTACATAAAAAGATTTTGCAGTCTGTTCAAAAGCATCTGGTGGTCCAGATTTGGCCTATGGTCAGCCTATTGTCTACTCCTGTATCATGCCCCCCCACTATAATTGTGAGATCCTACTCTTATTTATATTACATACAAATATAATAAATATTAAAAGAACGTTAGAGTTGCAAAGTCAAACACTTGAAAGTTAAGAAATGCCAGATTAAGGTTGTCCATTACTTCAGTTGCAATTGAAGCAGACACTAAGTATCTCAAGTTGGGCAACCAGAAAATGAGGAACATGCGGTTAGTGGCTACCTGTGAAAAATTTGGTTTCAGTGACTTAACTAGCATTACATAGGAACTCTGTAGCAGAGGGAGGAATAGAATCCAATTCTCCAGGATAGCGTTCAACTGCCTTAACCACAAGACCATCGTTTTTCTTCCAACCCTTCTCTGCCTCAATCACTATACACATTCCAGCTTCTGCAACAAATGAGGCAGAGGATCTACAGACAAAAGCCTCATTCATGACACACCCCTGAACACTGTTCATAATGTGCACTGAATGAGGCAGGGGTGTGATCATATAATTAAAGGCTGTTTCATAATGCATACATGCCGGAGGGCCAAATTAAGGTTCCATGAGGCAGTATTAATTCTGGCATTTTCTACTTTTTGAGTGCCTGACTTTGCAACCTTAACATTCTTTTAACATAGGGGGGGGGGGGTTTGTATGTAATTTCTTAAATTTTGAAAAAAGTAAACCGAAAAGACACAAATTCCATCATGTGGAATCATGATGGCCCCCACATGGATCATCAGCAGAGTTGGGACTTTTAGAACCATGGCACAGACCTCTACCACTATATCCAGTGGAGCAACTGTAGCAATATTAGCCTTTTGTCCCCTATTTGGGCCAGCCACTGATGGGGGATGAGACATACTATTTTACTGCTATTTGCTAGACACCAGAAGGATGTTTGAACTCAGGAATCCTGAATTAACTTCCAGGTTCTGCAAGGCAGCATGTGCTTAGATCTTTCTACCTCTGA